AGTAATGATGTCTCCATACCGGTCCTCCAGACTCTACTAAGCTTGCTCATAACTCGTGAGACCTAGGAAACCTAGTGCTCTGATACCAACTTGTCATGACCCGTAATTCAAACCTCGGGGTCGTGATGGCGCCTAACATCCACTTGCTAGGCAAGCCGATGTGAGATAATTAATTAGTCATTTTTTTAATATATTAAAATAAAGTGATGATAAATAACAAGAGATGGATACTCAAACTAATTCAACACCAGCATAAGTCATGTAATAACATCTACTCCTAAATATCCGGAGTCACGAGTACACGAGCTACTAGAAGTTCTACAAATAGAATCTGAAATAAATAAAACTGGTTCGAATGAAATGAACAGTATAAGAGGAAAGAGAAAGGGGACTTCAAGTTCTGCGGTCGTCAGCAGATCTACCTCAAGTCTGTGAATGTGATAATCCAAGCTAGTGCACCTCAAATACTGTTGGGACCAGTACCAAAATCTATACAAGAAGTGAAAAATGTAGTATGAGTACAACCGACCTAATGTACTCCGTAAGTGTCGATCCTAACCTCGACGAGGTAGTGACGAAGCTATGCAAGGACACTCACATAATTAACTATAAAAACATATATATATATATATATATATATATATATATATATATGTATATGTACCAAACAGCAACAAGATAGATATTTAATATGTACAGTTAGGAGGGTCATGTGATAGGGGGAAAAGATACGATAACTACAACAGGAAAGACAAAATCATCAACCAAGGAGAACAAATAACATACGATATGAAAATGGCACGGCATCACCCTTCCTGCTTTTACTCTCATCCTTACCATGAAATGATGTCATAAGAGTAATGAAATAGCACGACATCACCCTTCGTACTTTTACTCTCGTTCTCACCATGTAATAGTTAATAACTGATATAGATTGGCACGACATCACCTTCGCGCTTTAATTCTCTTCCTCACCATGTATTAAATAGTAAATAAAGAAATGAAATGGAACAACATCATCCTTCGTGCTTTAACACTCTCCCTTACCATGTCGTAATGAATATACAAACTCGGGAGATAAATAATGCAAGGGATGTGCTTTAGGTCAATTATGATTCCAAGATACCAAACCTCAAGTTCCAACATACTCAATCATTACTAATTAATCCATAAATACGGAAAGAACAATCAAATAAGTAATATCTAATCTAAGCATGGATGACATAATTCAAGAGGCAATAAATCACAAGGAAACAAGTTCTACCCGCATGCTTTAACCCCAACAACAACAACGCATAAGTACTCGTCACCTCACATATACGTTGTGCCCACACATTAAACACGTAGCAAATAGGTAAACAAGTCCTAATCCCTCAAGTCAAGGTTAACCACGACACTTACCTCTCTTCGCAACCAATTCAATGTTCAACTACGGCCTTACCTTTTGAACAAGCCTCCGAACCAATCAAATCTAGCAAATTATCAACCAAACGATTCAAAATAAGCCTTAGAAACTATCCACGAATGAAAGAGGTACAATTTAGATCATTGTTGAAAAAGTTAACAAAAGTCAACCCTGGGTCTGCTTGGTCAAAACCCGAGGTTCGGACCAAATACCCAACCATTCACCCCCGAGCCCGGTTATGCAATTCAATTCGAAATTCGACCTCAATTCGAGGTCTAAATTCCAATTTTACAAAAATTCCTAATTTTATCCAAATCCCTTATTTCTACCATGAAAATCCTAGATTTAAGGTTGAAATCTTATGGAATATAATGGGTAATTTAAAGAAAGTAGATTAGAGTAACTTACCAATGAATTGAGGAAGAAAAGCTCTTGGAAAAATCGCCTCTATGGTATTTAGGGTTGAGAATTTAAAAGAATGAGCTAAAATCCTGTATTTCTCAATTTTTTATTAGGCCCAGATGTCTCAATTGCGAATTGGGGTTCCCAATTGGGAATCCCACAAATGTGAGAAATCCTTCGTAAATGCGAAGAATTCACACCTCTGTTGTCATCGCAAATGTGAACTATTTGTTGGCAAATGCGAACCTGAGACTATATAATGCGACAGAAATCTCGCAAATGCGAGGACCCAGTCCCCAGTCCGTGCTCGCAAATGTGATGTTGTGATCGCAAATGCGAGCCAGACCTTGCAAATGTGAGATTTGCAGACAACACCAGAACACAAAGGCACCAGCTATTCTTCTAAGTCTAAAATCACTCCATAGCCTATCTGAAATTTACCCGATTCCTCGGGGCTCCAAACCAATCATTCACACAAGTCCAAAACATCATACAAGCTCGCTCGCGCGATTAAAACACAAAAATAACACTTAGAACTATGAATCAGACACCAAAACGAATGAAAATTTCAATCGGACATCCGAATCACGTCAAATCAACTCCGTTTTGCACCAAATTTTGCAGAGAAATCACAAATAAAGTAATGAACTTATACCAAGTCCGAAAACCAAAATCCAGACCCGGTAGCAACAAAGTCAAGCTACGGTCAAACTAAAAAAAAATTTAAACTTTTAAACTTCTAATTTTCAAAAAATAGCGATAATTCGAGTTAGGGACTTCCGGATTCGATTTCGTACTACGCCCAAGTTCCAAATCACTGTATGGATCCATCGGCACTTTCAAAATACTAATTTGGGTCTATTTTCTCAAAACGCTGACAAAAGTCAACTCAAATGAAGTTTTAAGCTACGATTTCACATTTTCATCAATTTTTCACATATTAACCTTCCGAAAAATGACACAGACTGCGTCGAGGAAGGTTAAACGGAGCTATTCATGGCTTCGAAACATAGAATTAAGGGTTAAAACTATAAATGACGTAACAAGTCATCACAATTTCCATCATTAGATTAAAACGTAATTTGTGCAAATTACATGATAGAAATTAAAGAGCTATCTTAGCTAGTAGAAATGAATACGTTGATCAACTAAATAAAAGGTTGATTGCTAAGTTTTATGGTAAAAATAAAATATTTTTCAATTTTGACTCAGCAGAAGATGATACCAACAATTACTACCAAGAAGAATATTTAAATACGTTAATACCAAATGGCCTTCTACCGTACATGTTTGTCGTCAAGTTCATAATTTTTTACGTATGTTAGTGTCATCATATATATAATATATTAAGTTAAAATTGATCTTCCAGAACTTATAATACTAGTCAACGTGCTTCTAAGTATGTGTTTATTCCTGAATTCAACTTTCGTCTTCTGAAACTAAAGAATATCCTTTTAAATTTGTGTGAAAATAATTTTCAATATCTTTATGTTTTGTAGTTATAATAAATAAAGCACAAGGACAAACATTCTAAATATTGGACTATATTTACCACAATATATTTTCTTACACGAATAACTATATGTTGCATTTTCAAGAGAGATATCAATATCGACAACAAGAGTTCTGGTTACGGCAGAGCAACCAAAGTATTAGAAGGAAACATATACAAAAAAATATCGTCTATAAAGAAGTCTTTAGTAAGATAGCATCACACTAGATACCTTTAAACTACAACAAATAATTATCTACTTAACATGACTGAAATTGATCATTTGTGTAAATTCTGATGTATGTCCTTTTATTTTAAATTCATGTTATGCTAATGTAAGAACTTTTTCGGCATTTAGATGATTATTATACTATTATATATAAAATTTCTCTCATTAATTAAATTTTATTATTCCTTTATATAAAGAAATATTTAAACCATCATGTACCATTATTAACGTGCAATGCACATTTATAGATACTGGTAGAGTCAAATATCTCTATAACAATCTTCTTTATTTCGAATATTTTTGGTTGCTATAATAAACTATTATTATAAAGAATAAATATTCTAATATAACATGAAATATTAATTTCAAAGAAAACTTGATTTTTTCCATAATGAAGTATTATTATAGAGAATGACTACTATAGAGGAGTTTGACTATATTTTCAACAACCAATAAAATGATATGGATTAACATAATTATTAAAACATCTTGGTTAGTACATTCACGTGTCGAAGGAAAAAAAATACTATAAAAGTTACTTCCTCCGGTCCAAAATAAGTGATTTTTTAGATGTTTTCACACAGATTAAGAAATTCACCTTTTAGCATTAATTAGCAATGGAATTGACCATATTAACCTTTACTATCTCACATAAACACTCCTAACACATATTCTAACACTATTTACTCCAAGAACAATGTAGGCAAAAAATAATTAATTCATTCTTGAAATCTGAAAAAATCACTTATTTTAGACCACAAGAAAAAGGTCATTATTTTAGGCCGGAGGGAGTAACATCTTTTTCTTGAAAACAGAGGATATAATCACAAAATTCCATTCGTCTCAATTTTCCTGACAGTTTTCCTTTTTAGGCAATTTCGAAATGATGATACTTTTTTATAGTTTGTAGTAATAATTTAACTATAAAATGTTCATTATACTTTTAGTAACATAATTTATAATCAAACAAATATTTATAACTTATTAAAGATTACAAATTTCAAAAATCTTCTTTCCTTTCTAAACTCAGTACAATACAATCACATATATTGACACAGTGGAAGTAGTTGTTAAAAAAGGAACTCAGCAGGTAAAGAAAGCATAAAAATAGGATAAACACGTGGCCCAGCTAATTTGTAATGCTATTTTGTACTACAACTTTTCTTGCTGAAATGGAATCCCACTTCTCCTATTATCACGGTGTGTATAAGTGCAAATGACACAGTACTAATATATTAGTGCAAAAATGATAATGTGAATTTATGATAAATTGAAGTGTTAATTTGTCCAAAACAGGAGTAATGTGAATGCAGCACAGATTGGCAAGGTAGTTTGACTCTATGTCCCTAGCTCGATTTAAACGTGCTAAGTCTTAAAAATAATTATTAAGTATTCAATACTCCTCTTTTTAGATTCCAGTCCAAAAACAAAATGGAAAAAGAAAAACTATATAAAGGTCAGAACATTTACTATTATATACCTACATACCAATACAGCAATACTTTAATGTGCTTAATTTAATATATACTCAGTACTATTCATCTTCCAACACTGTTGACTTAATATATATTTCTCTGTGTAGATCTATAGAGAATAGATCTTTCAAAAACTTAAGAAAAGAATTCTTATTAACTTTAATTTGTTACACCAACCATGGCGTTCTCACTAATTATCCCTTGTTATATGTCAAGAAATCCCCATATTCTTGATACATGCAGCAGATCTCAAACTCCGATCTTCAATCCTCTGTCTCAAGCTAAAAATATCAGAACCAGCTGCCAGAGATCTGGTCTACTACTAAGCAACAAAAGACCAAGGTAATATTTCCTCAATATTATGTATATATTTATCTACTTTTTTCTGTGGGTGATTTTCTTGTTTTTTCTGGTTATGTAGGGATTTAGTTGTCCATGCAACTCCTGAAACTGGAGATCTGCTTTCAGGTGTTATTCCTTTTTTGCCATCTGGTGAAAATTCTTGGTAAGAAATTTTAAAAAAAGCACGTAAATTTTGACTATTAATCTTTCATGTCTGCCATTTTTCTTAATTAATGTAGTACTTAATTACCCACAAATTTTAACATAGAAATGTTGTTGCAGGATGAGTTGGGCTGTGGGATTAGGTGTAACAGTACCTTTGTTAACAGCAAGATTATTAACAGTAACAAGTAAGAATATATATATCTTCTGCTAATTTATATATTACTCTTTTTTTATTGTTTCTCTCTTTTTTAATATTTGGGATCAACGTCCATAGAGCAAGTTGCAGTTGCGGCGGAGACGGTGGAGTCGGTGGCGGATGCGGTGGGAAAAGTTGCGGATGAAGTGGACAAGGTGGCGGAGGAATTCGCGGAGAAGCTGCCGGAAGGTGCAATGCTTAAAGGTATAGTGAAGTCCATCGAACATTTGGCTGAAGAAACTGAAAAGGACGCTCAATTAGTCGAAGACCTAATGGACAAGGTATTTATTTTTCTCTTCGATTTTAAATTTGATCAACTTAAATTAGCAATTCGTTTCCCTAAAAATATAGTTTTGACAAGTTGCGTATTTTATTGCTAATCTCTCACCTTAAAGATGACTTAGTGGTTGAGACATAAGGGTAACAACTTGAAGATTTTGTATTAATATTTGAACAATAACACTTTACGAGAGAGCTCATCTACTCCAATTTTGATAATCACGGGATTACCTTGCCAATGCTTGTGATTAGACAGAATGACTATCAAATTATTATTAAGTGTCACAAATTTTGACCATATTTAGTCAATTTACATAAGTAATTGTACAAATATTTAGATAAACATTGCGTAAGCACCAACAAGTAGATTTATTTTTCCTCTTCTTTTGAAGCCTTTATCGCTGGGCACCCATAACATTAAAATTCTGGATCCGCCACTGCATTTGGTACATCTACCATATGTTGAGGTGAGAATGTGCAAGTAAATAAACAATAGTTTTCTTACATCATTTTGTCCACATCCTTAGTTTTTCGGGAACAAATTAATTAAGTTGATTATCTAAGAAAACGAGATCCAAATCTCTAATCCGTCTAAATAGATTAAGATGACAGCTGGATTAGATCTAGAATTGTCTTTTTGTTGATGCCTCGAACCCAATAAAAGAGAGAGAGAGGGGCAAGATGATTATCACGTTGATCATAAATTATTAAATAATTAATGCCATGATTAGGATCTCTAAATCTTTTTGTATTTTTCATAATTTTGGCCAAGTGCTTATTCTTGTTTGGAATGATGATAGGTTGAAGAAGTGGATCAAAAGTTGGAAGCATTTATCAGCAATCAAGTTAAAGAGACTGTGAAGGTACCGAATTCAAATGATGGGAAGAAAAAACAATAGATCTACATTTGTCACTTTCCCAACAGTGGGGTTTATTGTAGTGCTTCTATGTATGTCCTTAAATTTGTCATAAAATTTTATTTAGACATCTCAATTATGACAAAAAAAAAAATGATCTATTGAACATTTGAAATCAGTGAATATTGTGTCTATTAAATACAACTTGTAGTATATACCATCAGTTAATAAAAATAGAAGTGACTGTATTTCAGACGCAAAATGTTACTCCTATTCCAATTTATGTGAACCTATTGATTTTTAGTCCTTTAAAAAAAAATATTTGGAAATAATTTAATTTCAGCTTATTTTATCCTTAATGAAAATTTTTATAGCCACACAAATAAGATCACAAGTTGTAAAAGTCTTACAACCGCAAAAATATTATGTATATTTAATACCATATATTCAAAAAAAAAATATTTTTTCTTAAATGCCCAGTGTTCACATATATTGAAAAATAGGGAGTATGTGACAAGTTCATAGGGCCGTGTATCTATTCGGCCTTCAATAAATATTTTAATAATCTAATACAATCAGTATTCACGTGGTCCAATCTGCCTTTCAGAGGTATAGTTATTATCAGCTGGTCAATCTCAATAACGCATGCTGCACGCGAGAATTATATAATTATTAAACCAAATAACTAGTGCAATGGATAAAGTCATAGAGTACCCGTTCAACCCTTACATTAAAATTTTGATGAGTGAGATGAGGATTCCCAAACACAATAAAAATCACCCATACAAATCCAAAATTGAAACTTCATATAATGAGGTAGAAATGAACAGAAGAACTTAGGTCCCTTGGTCTGCCAAATTCTATGGAGAGGAAGTACCATGTCTACACAGAGGACAAGAGAAAAGGAAAACACATAAGAAACCAAAAGTTGAAACAACTAACATGCTCTCTGTCCATAGAGAAAACAGAAAAACAAACCAAATAGACTGTTATACACGATAATGTAATACAATACTTGATATACTATGTATTAATACAAAAAATACAACTAATACTAAAAATTATGATTAACACTAGTACTAAACTAAATACGTAATATTACATATACAATAAGCAAAGTGGAGGAGCTAGAGTATTTAGCAAAATAGACAGAGTATTGGTAAACATGGATAGGTTATCACAGTTGCCAGCTTCTATGGTTTACTATATGACTGAGGGGTTGTTCGATCACAAAAACCAGCTATGATAAATTTGGAGAATGGAAACCAGAGGATCAATAGACCATTCAAGTACTTCAACATGTGGAGTATGGATCCTGAATTCAAGAAAAAAGTGGGGATAGCTGGACTACTGAAATCAGAGTAACCAAACTGTATCAGTGTGATGACCCAAAGGGTCATCTTATGTTTTAGAACTCGATTCCTGTTCCGAGATCTTCAAAACCTCATTTTATCGCTCCTCGATTTACGTGCGCAGCTCGAACGTGTATCCGGAAAGCTTTTATGTGAAATATTGATGAAAAAATAATTTTTGGCCCAAAAAGTTAATTTTTGTTGACTTCAATCAACGTTTTGGGTAAACGGACCCGAACCCGTGTGTTGATGGTCCCGGTGGATCCGTAGTAAAATATGGGACTTGGGCGTAAGCCTGAAATCGAATTCCGAGGTCCCTAGCCCGAGAAATGAATTTTTGATGAAAATTGTAAGACTGAAATTATAAAGGTTTTAAGAATTTGGTTAATATTTGATCTTGTTGGTACCAGGTCCTTATTTCGGTTCCGGAGCCCGGTACAGGTCCGTTATGATATTTTTACCTTATCTGTGAAATTTGGTGAGAAACGGAACTGATTTGACGAGATTCGGACCTTTGGTTGAGAAAATAGAAGTTTTGAAACTTTCTTGAAAAATTCATGCAATTTGGTGCTAAATTCGTAGTTTTAGGTATTATTTTGGCGATTTGATCGCGCGAGCAAGTTCGTTTGATGCTTTAAGTTCTGTGTGCATGTTTGGTTTGAAGCCCCGAGGGCTCGGGTAAGTTTTGGATAGGCTACAGAGTGACTTGGACTTAAGAAAAATTTGCTGGTATGCTTTAGTCTGCAGATCTCGCATTTGCAAGGTCTGGCTCGCAAATGCGAGCCTCCCATTTGCGAAGAATGTTCGCATATGCGAAGCAGGGGAGGGGACTGGGTAGTTCGCATTTGCGAAGAATAGGTCCGCATTTGCGGAAGTCCAAATTTGCATTTGCGACTGTAACTTCGCATTTATCAAGGCTGCAGGAATGCGAGGGGTTCGCATTTGCGAGCTTCGCAAATGCGAAGCTCAGGTCGCAAATGCGACATCTGCAGCTGATAAGTCTTCGCTTAGACGGGATTTTTCATTCTTTCTCCCATTTTTCAAAACCTAGAACACAAGAGGTGATTTTCCAAAGGCTATTTCTTCCACAAATCATAAGTAAGTGATTCTTAACTAGTTTCTTTCAATCTTTTACTTCTTTTTACAAGATTACATCCTAGAATCTAGGGATTTTCATGGTGGAATTGGGGTTTTTTGGGTAGGGCTTAGGAATTTCGAATTTTGGGGATATAGACCTCAAATTGAGGTCGGATTCCAAAACCAATTGTATATCCGGGCTCGGGGGTGAATGGGTAATCGGGTTTTGGTCCGAATTTCGAGTTTTGACCAAGCGGGCCCGAGGTCAGTTTTTGAATTTTTGGGGGAAATGTTGGGAAACTTGTAATTATGTATTGGAATTGATTCCTTTAGCGATAATTGATGTTATTAAGTTAATTATGATTAGATACGAGTGTTTCGGAGGTGGAAACTAGAGGAAAAGCGATAGTTGAGTACTGAGTGGCCTGTGGATCGAGGTAAGTATTGTGTCTAACTTTGACTTGAGGGATTAGGGATCCCCGACTAATTTGCTATGTGAAAATCCATGTGTGTGGCGTATAGGTGAGGTGACGAGTACCTATGCGCCGCCAAATTATCTGATTAGCCTGTTTCTTTTTGCGTTCCTAATATATTGTCTTCCTGTCTTAACCACTATATGCTTATTAGTGCTTCCATGTCTAATTGCTTCTTGTTAGATGTTGTTTTCTTTATTGAAGGTATTAATTATTTCGTAGTTTCATTGTATTACATTATTGGTTTACGTTGGTTTATCAGTGTTTCATGGTATATTTTGGTTGGTCTCGCTGTGTAGTATTAATTGAGTGATGTTTCATAATTGTATAACCTTTTGTTTGCTTTGGTTTGAGGCTTAAATATTGTGGAGGTTTTTGAGCTAAATTGTGAAATTCATGTTCTTATTGTGTGATTGGTACTGATATGGTGGGATCGGGTTGCGCGCCGATACAGGAGGAATAAGGGTGATATATTGAGGAGGAATAAGGGTGAAATGTGATTGTTTGGTGCGATCGTGTTGCGCGCCGCAACAGGAGGAATAAGGGTGATATATTGAGGAGTAATAAGGGTGGATTGTTATTGTACGGTAGGATCGGGTTGCACGCCGCAACAGGAGTAATAAGGGTGGATTGATACGGAGTAATAAGGGTGAATGTTCATATTGTTACTAATTGTATGGTGGGACCGGGATGTGCGCCGCATCAGTTCGTTGTTTATGTATTCTTCTTCTGCTATAATTTTATTCTGTAGTTTTATAACTCACTTAAGGATTGGTTATAGTTGGGTACTGATAAGATATTTGAGTTCCGTATTCATTTTTGTTACAAGTCACTGTTTCATTTGTCCTGTACATCCTTTTCGCTTTATTATATACTGTATGCAGGTTATAAAGTAAATGCCCCACCGTAGCCTCGTCACTATCTCGTCGAGGTTAGGCTCGGCACTTACCAGTACATGTGGTCGGTTGTACTGATACTGCACTCTGCACTTTCTGTGCAGATGTTGGAGCTGGTAGTGGCTGATCGAGAGGTCGGTTGCAGATATTTTATCCTGGAGACCCAAGGTAGTCCTGCTTGTGTCCGCAGGCCCTGGAGTCCCCTCCTATGTTTCTACCTTCCTATTTTCTTTTCTTTCGAGACAGATGTAATTTCTTTCAGACCAATATTTGTAGTAATTTGTAGTATGTTCATGGATTGTGACACCAGACTCTGGGTAGTAGTAGTAGTAGTAATGGGTTCGGTATTGTAAATTGACAAAGGTTATTGACATATTTTCGCATTTATTCCTACTTGATTTAGTCTATTAAATTTAAATCTATGAAATGTAAAGGAAAAAGGTTAATGGAACTCTAACATTGGCTTGCCTAGCAAGTGCGGTGTTAGGCGCCATCACGGTCCCGATGGTGAGAAATCCGGGTTGTGACAAGTTGGTATCAGAGCACTAGGTTGCCTAGGTCTCACAATTCACGGACAAGCTTAGTAGAGTCTGAGGGATCGGTACGGAGACGTATGTGCTTATCCCCCAGAGGCTACAGAGTTTAGGAACAATTTCACTTCTATTCTTCTCTGTCGTAAGATTTGATCTCTCAATGCTAATTCAACTTTCTACTCTTGTTCTTTCGCAGATGCGAGAACATGTACCGCTTCATCAACTAAGCAGCAGCCAGAGCCCCCAGTGGCAGCTCCTACGAGGGGCAGAGGACGAGGCCGAGGCAGGGGCAAGGCTCAGCCCAGAGCTCAAGCAGCAGCACCAGCGGCGGAGCCTCAGGTAGAGTTTGATGAGCAGGCTCCAGCCCAGACCGTTCCAGCAGGGCCAGCTTAGGTTCCAGAGAGGTTCATCGCCACCCCGGTACTTCAGGATGCTTTGGTCCGTCTAGTGGGCCTTATGGAGAGTGTTGCACAGGCCAGCACATTCCCTGTAGCACCAGCCGTCTCTCGGGCTGGGGGAGGAGCACAGACTCCCGCTACCCACACTCCGGAGCAGATGGCTCCTCAGTTTCAGACTCCAGCAGCTCAGCCTGTTGGAGTAGTTTCGCCGGGTGTTGCAGCATAGACCGGCGATGGATTAGCTATGTCTTCTGAGGCTTTGTGGAGATTGGATATGTTTACATCTTCAAAGGATCCCAAGGACTATCTGGACACTTTTCACGAGGTATACAGAACATGGGGATAGTGGAGACCAATAGGGTCGACTTTGCAACCTTTCGTCTGTCAGACTCCGCCAAGAAATGGTGGAGGTATTTTTATTTGGCTAGACCAGCTGGGTCACCAGCTCTTACTTGGAACCAGTTCTCTCAGCTATTTCTGGAGAAGTATCTTCCTATCCCTCAGAGGGAGGACTATCGGAGGAAGT